TTTGCACAGTGAAGGAAACCAATGAACAGGAGAACATAACTTGCAAATGTTATATTCAATAAGAGGTTATGATCCAAAATATATAAGAACTCCTACAATATCAAATCATTATTATATACCTGAAACTAATATAATGTTGTTTGTCAATTATAACTCAATTAAAAAAGAAGTAACTGGCAAATAAATGTTTAAATTGCAATTTAAAAATTAAATTAAATTATCTTCTGTACAACTCTAACGTGTAAGCAATCACTTATTCAGAAAACATTTATTACCTTATTCCCACTATGTGCTTGACATTGTGCAAGATTTTAAGGGTGGAAAAGGCATAGTCTCTGAGTGACCCCAACATCAAGTAACTCTTAGACTGTGTGGAAGATGGACATATAAGCTAACTTGTATAGTATTTCATGATCAGTGCTGCGACAGGGCTACATACAGGCTATTATGAAAGCATGGATGCCTGCCACTCAATTCATGAGAGTCTTACCTTATTTAGGGCATGATAAAGAAATGACAGGTTTGTTTTTATTTCCCTTGGCTGTATATATCACAAATTGCCCCTCTAGCCTCAGCTGGTTCTCCTATCAAGCACTATGGATGGTCTTGCTCTCTCAGCCATTCTATGCTCTGACCACAGAGTAAGCAAACAGATTAAGCTTTCTTTCTAGGGTGCGGAAGTGAGGTTTCCTAGGTCCAGAGCTGGCAGTTCTATTAGGGTGGTAAAAACGTGAGAAAATAGAAGTGCAAATGTATTTTTCAAGAAGTCTTTGCTAAGGAGAGCCACAGGTTATCTCAAGAGGAAAAAATGGAATATGTAATCAAGGCGAAGATATACCTTTGGCCCCATGAACTAACACGTGTGTTATGAGAATAAGCAAGTTTGCATCTTCTATAGGGCCTAAGTGGTGATTCCTTAACATTTGGTTTTTTTAAGATTTGATTTGGGGGCACCTGGGTGGCTCAGTCAGTTAAGCATCTGCCTTCAGCTCAGGTCACGATCTCAGGGTCCTGGGATGCAACCACGCATCAGACTCTTTGCTTGTTAGGGAGCCTGCTTCTCCCTCTACCTCTGCCTCTCCCCCTGTTTGTGCACTCTCTCACTGTCAAATAAATAAATAAAATCTTTAAGAAAAAGATTTAATTTGGATTTTTTCAATTTATATCTGGAATATGAAAATAACTGCTCCTGAAATTAAGGCTTCTTAGAGTATGGTCATCCAAAGTTCTTAATAAAGTAAAGTAGGTTTATGGTGTAGAGACTGCAATATTTTATGTGGGATGTTAAAAGACTATAGTAATTTTTATGACTTGATTCTAGATTATCATCCCAATACCCATATTCCCCATTTTCTAAAAAAAGGGCTTTATTTTTTAGAGCAGTTTTAAGTTCACAACAAAATTGAGAAGATGCAGAGATTTCCATACACCCCCGGGCCCTATGCGTGTATAGCGTCCCTCATTATCAACATCACTTACCAGAGTGGTACGTTTGTTATAACTGATGAACCCACATTGACAAACTATAAACATCCAAAGTCCATGGTTTATATTAGGAGTTATGGTGTTGTACATTCTATGGGTTTGTACAAATATATAGTGACATGTATGTACAATTATAGTATCATATAGAGTATTCTCAGGGCCCTAGAAATCCTCTGTGCTCCACTTATTCCTCCCCTACCCCCCACAACCCCTGGCAACCAATGATCTTTTAACTGTTCATGGTTCTGCTTTTTCCAAAATGTTTTGTAGCTCAAATCATACAACATGTAGTCTTTTCAGATTGGATTCTTTCACTTAGTGACAGGCATTTGGTGTTCCTTCACGTCTCAATTAGCTCATCTCTTTTTAGTATTGAATAATATTCCCTGATCTGGATGTACCACAGTTTATGCATCCATTCACATACTGAAGCACATCTTGATTGCATTTGTTTTAGCAATTCTGAATAAAGCTGCTATAAACATCCCTGTGCAGTTTTTTTGTGTAGACATAAGTTTTTAACTCCTAGGATAAATACCAAGGAGCATGACTGTTGGTTCATATGGTAAGAGTATGTTTAGTTTTGTAAGGAAATGCCAAACTGTCTTCCAAAGTGGTTGTACCATTTTGCATTCCCATCAGCAGTGAGTGAGTTCCTGTTGTTCCACATCCTCACCAGCATTTGATGTTGATGTTGATGTTCGAGATTTTGGCCATTCTAATAGGGTGTATAGTCGTATCTCATTGTTGTTTTAATTTGCATTTCCCTGATGACATATGATGTGGAGCTTCTTTGAAAAGTCTATTTGCCATCTGTTTATCTCTTTTGGTGAGTTATCTCTTAAGGTTTGGGGCCCATATTTTAATCAGGTTGTTTGCTTTCTTATTTAGTTTGTAGTGTTCTTTTGTGTATTTTGGCTAACAGTCCTTTATCAGAGGTGCCTTTTGTAAATATTTTCTCCTAATCTGTGACTTGGCTTCATCCCCCATTTTTTTTTTTAAAGACTTATTTATTTATTAGAGAGCAAGAATGAGAGAGAGTACATGAGAGGGGGAGGGTTAGAGGGAGAAGCAGGCTCCTCGCTGAGCTGGGAGCCCGATGCGGGACTCGATCCAGGGACTCCAGGATCATGACCTGAGCCGAAGGCAGTCGCTTAACCAACTGAGCCACCCAGGCGCCCCTTCATCCCCCATTTTTTAAGACCAAATCATTTTGTAGAAAATGGGACACTGCTGACAGTCTTAAGTGCTATTTCTGTAGAGAACATTTCTTTGTTGCTGTGAGAGAAGTAGTAGAGGTCATGTGTTGATTCCTATCTCAGTCTAGCTTGAAAGAAAATGCAAATTAACATGAGAAGTAGAGAACAATGATAGTGTTTAATTCTGTGTCAAATGTCATAGTATATTAAGACTTCACAGTTTAGGGGCGCCTGGGTGGCTCAGTCGTTAAGCGTCTGCCTTCCGCTCAGGTCATGATCCCAGGGTCCTGGGATCGAGCCCCGCATTGGGCTCCCTGCTCGGCAGGAAGCCTGTTTCTCCCTCTCCTGCTCCCCCTGCTTGTGTTCCCTCTCTTGCTGTGTCTCTCTCTGTCAAATAAATAAATAAAATCTTTATTAAAAAAAAAAAAAAGACTTCACAGTTTAGAGAAACATTGAAGGAGATTGAGAAAGAAGAGGGAATCTTGGTGGAAATTGAATTTACTTGGATTGGCCTTGAAAGCCAGTTAATAGTATCTTTAACAGTGAAAGAGGCAGGAAATGATACTGCAGCTGAGAAACTGGATTCAGAGTCATACAAATTTCAGTTTATATTACAGAAGGAAAAATTGATTATGTTTTGGATTTAGATTCTCAATATTCTCAGATCTGTAAGACTGGGGTCTTCTTTATCTAGAGGGAGTAGAGGTGTAAAACAATGTCATTCCAAATGGTTCTGTTTATAGCAGACGGCTAGGTTGTGTATTTCACGTGGCATGTGGAAAGAATATATTAGCCCAGCATATTTGCATTCAGTGTATTGTAACATTTTTAAAAATGTTGCACACTGGCATTAAAAATATATATATGATATATTTTTCAAACCTACGGAATATTTGCCTTACATTTTTTAAGGTAAATCTACCTTCCTAATAATTTGAAATACTATAATATTACAGTAATATAAAATATGTTGCTTTTTAAATTTTAACTTTATTTTTTATGTCTATTCTACTTTTATTATTCTTCCTCTGATTATGCAGTAATAATATATTATCGTGATCCTTACAACACACTACACATGTTATCGCACATAGGCATTTTTGAACACTGCTGATTTAAAATTTCCCGTTGTGAGGTTCTTTCAAAAGCATTTTACTTCTTTGATTTGAGGATGCTGCTGCTGTTTAGAGATATTATCCATTTCACTGAGGTCACCTATGTATCTAAGTTCTCATATGTGAAATTTGGGTTGTTAATCTGGCCTTACCATGATTGATTTCTGTACCACTCCAGACACAGTCTACTGTTATTTAAGATTTAAGCAAAGAGAAAATGAAGGGGGATGGGGTGTAGAAGAGGTAGAGTATCACACAACTGACAGGTTAATTTCAGGCACAGTTGAATCTATAATCTCAGATGATGTTATTAGGAGTCTATTCTGCTTAGCCTTGCTGGATTCAACTTGATTTCAGTTACCCGGAGGTAAAGTTGGGGCACAGCTGGAATAGAGAAGGTTGCTGCCCAGGGATTGGCACTCTCACCTAGGGGAGCAGAGGCTGTTTCTGAAAGGCAAAGGTGCCGTATGGACAAAGAAGTAGGAGATACCACTGCAGGACCCATGGTTAGTCTTGAACACAGTTATCGAAGTTTGTGAGAACTGTGTCGGCTGGCATTCATCTTCCATTAAGCATTAGGAAGCATTAAGCTTAACATGATTCAGAGGAAACCTGGTTCCTTTTTTCTAGACCAAAATTCAGTGCCATCCTAAGACTCACAGACAATTTAAAAACTGATTTTCAAGACTTTGTCTTATAATTAGCACCCCTAGCATCAATATTTTGTGTAGTCCTTGTTGGGCAAATCAATTAAATATATCCTCCCCTCGGTTTCCTTATCTGTTTAAAAAAATACTGATACGATTAGATTGACTAACCTCTGAGGTCATTTCTGTTTCTAAGAATATGTGACTCAATGATTCTCTCGCAAAGGTGATTACAGGTTGATTTTTCTTTCTTTTTTTTTTAAGTATGTATATTGAGTGGAAACTATCTTTGCTCTCAAAAAGCTAAATCCAGTAGAACTTTCTGCAGTGATAGAAATGTTCCATGCAGCTATTGAGCACTTGTAATATAACTGGTGTGACTGAGGAGATGAATTTTTCATCTGAACTTCATTAATTTTGCTTCAAATTAAAATAGCCACAACTCTGGGATTAACTTCTTTCAGCAAGATTTTTGAGAAACCATTGAAATTAAAAACAGAATTCATATGCTCTGCTATGAATTTAAAAACAGCAATTTGCCCCTTTCTTTTCAGTCTCCTGCACATAGCTACTCAAGCTACGACTCTGGCAAAAATGAGAGTGTAGACCGAGGTGCCGAGGACCTGTCTCTAAACAGGGGAGATGAGGATGAAGATGACCACGATGACCACGACGATTCTGAAAAAGTGAACGAGACAGATGGCGTTGAGGCCGAGCGGCTGAAAGCTTTTAATGTGAGTCCGGCCACCCTCCCTGTGTGGCTTACTTTTTACCACTTCACTTTCATGTTGTTGCTTGCTGGTAAATGTGGATCTTCTAGAGACATGTCTGTTTAATTTACAGAAGGATTTAAAAAGTACATGAAACACTCTTTGCCAACCAGACACCAGAATTGCTGTGTTTTGTTTAGAATTTTAAAGCCAAATGTGAGCTGAAAACTGGATTTGTGTTGTGTGAGTATGCATGTTTACCTAGTGGACGAGGGGGCCTCCGCTTCTTCCTCGGAAGAGTATGCCTGTCTTCAGTTATTTCTCTTGCCTTCCCGGCTTACCTAATTATGCATGACAAAAGAGTCCATTGTTTTCAGAGATTAGTGCACTGTGCAGCATAACAATGTAGCAGTCGCATTTATCATTAGTGGAGAATTTGATGGGGTGCTTAATTGTCACAGTCTACTGTTATTTCCTGATTTTTTTTCCTACACGATAGTCTATACTTTTCTGTCTGTCTGTCTGTCTGTCTGCCTCTCTCTCTTTTTTCTCTCTATTTTTTTATCCAGCCATTTAGAAAGCCTTTAAAGGGTGTTTGCTTAAAGTTTCTGGCTTTCCATTGCAAAGTTCTTCAGTGCATAAAGCAGAAAAGAGTATTTTCCTATCGGTAATCAAGACAGGAAGCTAGGAACAGCAGAGAGCAGTCCTCCAAACCCTTCTCCTCTGTCTCCCTCTTGCCAACAGATGTTTGTCAGGCTGTTTGTAGATGAAAACTTGGACCGAATGGTCCCAATCTCTAAGCAGCCCAAAGAAAAGATCCAGGCTATCATTGACTCATGCAGGCGACAATTCCCTGAGTATCAAGAGCGTGCCAGAAAACGTATACGTACTTACCTCAAGTCCTGCAGGCGGATGAAAAGAAGTGGTTTTGAGATGGTGAGTTTTGAATTAAAACACAGCCCTAGATTTCATCAAAATCCCACATGTAAACCATGACACTATTTTTTTTTTCATCTTAGTGTCTTTTTTATTTTTTCCATAATGTCAGGTCCAAGGGGTTTTTGTTTGCTTGTTTGTTTTTTTCCCCTTCTCCTTTTCATCTTCCTGAAGTATTTATCCCCTTTGTTATTCAATGAGGAATACCTGGTGAGACCAACACTCCCAGGCACACATGGTACCATGTCACAGGAAATGAGGGGGATCTGAGTTAAAAACCAATGAGAACCAGCATCTCATTCGTGTTTGTTTTCTGTCACTACTGAAGCAGATAGAAGGTTAACCAAGTCTTCAACTGAAGCACAGGTTGTTGCTTTAGATGGTATATGAGAATGGCTTTCTCTGGAACCAAAGGAAATGGATGGATCCACCTAAATAATACTGTTTTCATACCGGTGGTTAATAAGTAGCAAGCCTTGAGAGTAAAGATCAGGGAATGAAAATCCTCATGTGAAAAAGAAGGCTTTGTTGTACTCAGTGTATTTGTGTGCTTGTGGATGGTAACATGAGCTTTTCTATTCACCTAGGCTTTACAGATGGATGAGATTATGTTGACATTAGTTATTTATGGGTGGAAATCAGATATCAGTGGTTTTCCAACTTTATTTCACCTTGCACTAATTGCTATTCCTAGAACTAGTGTATATGTTTACAATGTATTTTTTTTTTATTTTTGTTTTTTATGTATGGGAGCAGAAATGTATTAGAAATTTTCTGAAGCCATTTTTTTTTTTTTTTCCTTTCTTGGCTCCATCGAAGCCAAGACTGCTGGTTTGTGATCAGTGCCTGTCATGTATTAGTTGTAATGGAGTAGTGTTGGTGAAGCTAGGAGAGGTTTCAGAGATGTCATATAGGAGAAATAGGTTCTTAGATTTAAATGAAATGACAAAAGCAATAAATCCACTATCTACTATCAATGCTTCTTCACTGGCTTCTAAAAATACCTTCAATATTTTTTTCTTTTTGAGAGAGAGAGAGCATGTGCTGGGGGGAGGGGCGGAGGGAGAAGGAGAGAGAGAATCTTAAGTAGGCTCCACACCCAGTGCGGAGCCCAACAAGGGGCTCAATCTGATGACCCTGAGATCATGACCTGAGCCTAAATCAGGAGTCTGATGCTTAGGCCTTTGAGCCACTCAGGTGCCCCCCCTTTGATATTCTTTGAAACAGTATGACTTTATAGAGAGGCAGTCTGCCTAGATAGTACCAAGCACAAGGCTCAGTCCCCAGAGAGCCTGGTTTGGGGTTCTGGATCCACCACGTCCTAACTGTGTGGCACGTTACTTCAGCGACCTGGACTCAGATGCCTCTTCTAGAGGTGTTAACTCCTAATTCATAAAGTTGTGAGAATTATATAAATTGTCACTTGTAAAGCTCTGCAAACCATTTCTGACACATAGTAACCACTCAATATATCTTAACTGTGACAATATTTTCAAATATTATTCAATCTATCATCTGATAAAAGCTTCCCAAACTGTTTGTATTAAACAATCACAGAATACTCCATTTAAGTACTTATTTACTTCTCAGAATAATAACTATATTGAAGTCAGAGTTGGTAGTGCATAAGTCATTTTAAAATCAAAATGGCATTTCTGTGCCTGATCAAACTAAATTATGACAGTAGAGGTATAAGAGAGGAGAGTTTGCTTAAAGAAAATAAAGCTATTTCTCCCATTACTGAATGATTTAAAAATTATTATTACCTACTCAATAGAAGAGAGATGACAGAGAGAAAGGGTATCTAAACAGGTATAAAAACCTAGAGTCCTAGCACTGTCATTTGGCTCAGAACACTCAGCAGCTGATGTAAAATTGCGATAGAACCTAAATATGTCTCATTCAGAATACAATGTACAATATTTACTTTTCTTTTTCAGTAACAATAAAGATGATATCCTATACCAAGGTTTTTATTTTACCAGCATCTGGCATTTCTATTTTTGGAGATATTTATTCGGAGATTTTTTGGTAAAATTTCTTATTTTCCATTAATTATTCTTTATGAGAAAAATTATCGTCATGTAGAATTCTTAATTTCTCTAAGGCATATTTGAAACTTTCACAGGTTTTTCTATTGCTTGTATTTATTTACTTCAATATGGGCATCTATTTGTTGTATACCCTGTGCTATGCATAGAGAAGAACAAAAATTGACTAATTCAAAGTCAAGGAGTTTTACAAACTAATCACAAAGAAATATACTGTAAAGAAATGCTATTTTAATTAACTTATTTTTTATTTATTCATTTATTCAATAATGTACATACCATTATACAAAGTAATAAGCAGAAATATTAGAGATTTCTAACCAGTTATTTAGGAAATATAACATGTTCCCTGATATTACGATTCATTGAGGTGACAAGTTGTGGGAAGTGAAATACCTAAGTAATAATATAAGGCCTAATATAATTAAATGTTAAGTGAACAACATGAATGAAAATTTTTATCATAGGTTAGGGCTTTTTTTATACACAGGAATATTCTAAAATAACAAATCTACCATTCAGTTGACACTTGGAATCTTGATTTTTTTTTTTAATGTATTACTTCACTGTCATGGGGCATGGGGAAGATTATGTGTCATTTTGAATACTTATCCTTATCTAGAACAGATAGGAAAATGTATGACTAGGGCAGATAGTAATTACAACTAAATATTGTATGTGAATATTTTTCCCTCACTTTTAAAAATTTGATATAAAGTAATATCCATAGTTGTTCTTTTTAATTGAAACAGCATTAAATAAAAAACCTTTGTTCTATTGTGTTTTATGTAGGTAGACATGGAGAAAAAGTCTCATTTTCAGCATGTAGTTGTTTTTACATACAAATTATTCTGCAATACTTAACAGGTCAACAAGTCGAAATAAGAATTTTTTACTATATTTGTAAAATGAAATTGTTAAGTGTAGGATTATTTGGGGTTTTTAAATTTTTATTTATTTATTTGACAGCATAAGCAGGGGGAAGAGAGAGGCAGAAGGAGAAGCAGGCTTTCCATTGAGCAAAGAGCCAGATGTAGGGCTCCATCCCAGGACCCTGAGATCATGACCTGAGCCAAAGGCAGATGCTTAACTGACTGAGCCACCCAGGTGCCCCATTATAGGTTGGGATAAGTGTAGAATTATTTGGTAGGAGATTCCATCTTATAAAATGAAAGTGGCTTTCAACAAGCTTATCTCTTCCAGTTATTTGGGTGAAACACAAAATACTGAATTATGTTTTGTGTTGACTTTAAGAAATTCAAAGAGGTAATCCCATAGAAGTGGGTCATCACAACATATATTAGTTGAGAATGTTGGCATTCACTTTTATTAATTTCCCACTGTCATTAAGACAAAATATATGCATGGTTAATAATAATTATCCCTTAAGAATTTACATGTCAACATAAATACTTTTAATTGACTTCACTGAATGTATACAAATATTAGAGTAGATGTTTAAGCATTTTTTTATTTCACTAGAATTATCAAGACCCCACAGATCTTGATTGCCTAAGTAGCCAAAATTTCATGCCATCACTCCAAATAGTCTCTGTAATGGGCTAAGTACAATAACTGTATTACTATATTTATATAACTATAACTATATTATTCTATATTCTATATTCTTTTCGTACACTTTCACCAACTCACTGCTACCAATCCTTTCAAATCATAAACTCCTCAGTGTTGAATATCAAAGGGCATGTTTTATGAAAAATCTCATAAGTTTGATCCAGAGTACGGTTTTAATATTCATTAAATTTTTAGAACCCAGTGAATGAGTTAAGCAGCCATTAAATTAATCCTTTGACAAATACATCCAATTGTTACTGATTCACTTGTGCAGCTTTGACTCTCAAATTACTTAACTAGTTTTCTAAAGAATATCTGTTGATTGTTCTAGAAAAAAAAAAGCGTTTCTTCAAGATGTTCTGATCTTAAAGAGCATGTATAACAGATAAGATCATAAAAGCAAAACTTTATGAACAAGGTGGGATTGGTCCATGCCTAAGTATAGTCTGTGTTATGTGATGTGATTTCTCTTTTTGTGTTCTGAGCTTATATTGTTAGAGACTGTTTCACCATGCTGCACATGTTTACCTGTATTTTTTATAAAACTCGATATTTCGGGGAGCCATTATAAGACCCTTGCAGCCCATAATTCCTACTGTATCTCAAATTGTGCCACTCTACCAAGATAGATCAGGTAGCCTAGATATTTGAATTCAATAAATTTAGCGTCTTGAAAATTACTTGTTTACTTACTTTTTAAATATCATGTGATTAACTATGTTTGAAGAAATAGGTCTATGACATTTTTATAATATTTTGTTAAGGATGTTGTCCATGAGGCTACTAAATGTCCATAGTATATTACCTCATTTCAGAAACTTCTTTTAGAATGTCATACAAGAAAAAAAGTGCTTCTCCTATGGAAATAGAATGTTTTTTGTTTTCTCTTTACTAGAACAATGCAACTAAATTTGTTTACTTTTGTGCCCACTGCCAGCAAGTTCAGAGCCAAAGTTTATCTGAAGTCCTAGTTATATTTTTTTAATTGATCATAGCGTATATTTCTTTGGTGGCTCTGATATCTATTTTAGGGGAAAATGAGATATAAATTTAAAAAAATTAAATCTAATTATGGAAACACCATATTTTAATACCCTAATCGAAGTTCTTTATTATAGTATTTCTTTTTAAATACATCCTATAGTGCCCTCCTCAGCTATTTTGATACTGGTCTTCTGAGCTTATGACTCTTTCATCAGAAAAGAAGTAATGTTTAGGAAATAGTACATTTTTTTAGGGAATTTCACTAATTAAATCATTTGCCTCGAGTTGTCTAATGCAGATGAAAGTAGAGAGATCGGAATTGTTTTTCAATTTAAAACTTCTCTGATAATGAGCATTGCAAAAGCTACAGTGACACTTGCTATTCATTCT